GTTGAAGGGTCTGTAATAGTTATTTCTAGGCAGCATTTTGTCCCTTCCCATATCCATTAGTGGGCTTGAAACTTGGCTGATTATTTTTGTATGTCCCAGGGAGTCACCCCGAGCATACCAGTTGCCGGTACACTCCAGTCTGTATGCCCCCATCCTCGCTTCCGCCCTGATGAAGATTTCAAGAGGTGGAATATTGAGTATGGTTTCCATAGCAGCGGTAGGAGTGCTGCGCATAGCTTTCAAACAGTTCATATCGATTCATTCTTTTTCGATTCCAAAATATATTTAACCCTGATAGATGCCTTCTCAAAATTCGGTCAAGCTCTTATAATTCCTGGAAAAACTGCTATTAACATATGCAATGCATTATTCAAATATTTCACATGTTTCGGTACTCCACAAAAAATCATAGTAGATAGTGGAAAAGAATTTAATAATGAGACTGTTAAAGAACTATTGAACCTTCATAAAGTAAAAATACATTTCACTACCCCAGGACATCACGAAGCTAACGGAATCGTGGAAAGATTTCATTCGACATTAATAGAGCAACTAAGAATATTGAAAGAAATCTACCCAAACGAATCAGACTTGATCAATTATGCCACATTAGGTTACAATAGTTCAATTCATAGCACAACAGGATTCACCCCATTCGAACTTGTTTTTGGACATACCGACTCTAGAAGCGCAGACGAAATTTTTGTACCCAAACAAGTATTTTCCGCATATATTCAAGATCACAAACAAAAAATTCACCCAGTATATGACAAAGTGAAAGAAAAGCTTCAAACTCGAAAAGAAACTATCATATCTAAATCAAATATCAAAGGCGATGCAAACGACGAATTCAAATTAAATCAGAAGGTGTATAAGAAAAATCCGTTGAACAGAAATAAAAGAAATAATAAATTTTTAGGACCATATACTATAACTAGAATGTTAGAGCACAATAAAGTCGAAATAAAGAATAAGAAAGGCAAGACAGAAACCATCCACATTAAAGAACTAAGAAAACCCGTTTTGTTACAGGCTCAAAATGAAGAGACTGATACTCCTTCAACTGATGACCGTGCTGGTCCAAGCTCACGAGATTAAACTGAAACAAATCACCAACTCACCCGGAATTCTCCCATTTAAATTAGGCCAATCTAAAATTATTGCCAATATATTCGTTACTCTCTTGGACAACATAGAAAATGCCATTACTTTTGCAAAACTACATATTATTCATCCAGATATATTGCCATTTCAAAACTTGAAAAACATACTAACTGAATTGAGATTTCATAATGATCACAATACGATACTAGATGTTAATTATCACACTTGGTATTCTATTATGCACACAAACTGTTACTTCACTAAGGCTAAGATCATTTTTGCCATAGAAATTCCAATAATTCATCCGAAAACCTTTCAATATTTCCATTTATTTCCAATTCCAACCTATAATCAAACCTTAATTATCCCAAATAAACCTTATTTGGCTCTCGAACAAGAAAACTATCAGGACATGGACCATATCTGTACGAAAGTCGAAGACACCTTCCTTTGCGAGCAAGAAGAATTCAAGTTCAACCCTGTTGAAGACTGCATTTCCGCCCTCATCCAAGACAACAGATCCCGATGTCTACAAATACCAGTAGAAATTCCATTATTGATATTCAATAAAGTAAATGAAGAGTATTTATTAATCATCAGCCGTGAAGAAATAAAGATTAAAACTCAATGCCCCGAAGAACAATTCCTCACCGTACCGTATTCGACGCTGCAATTCAGTGGAATCTGAAGTAGAATGTTGCCTTATTCTACTTCAGATTCCACTGAATTGCAGCGTCGAATACCAGTCAGTCAAATTCGAAAACAACCAGGCCACAAGTTTTGGTAGTCCCCTCGTATTACCAAAAATCATGAACGGTTCCACCCAAGTTGAAATAGTCCGGAGAAAACCACTCAGAATCGAAAACGTCCCATTAGAAGATATCCATCGGCTCCGGCAACACATCGAAGCAACCAATCAACTATCAATCGATGATTTCAATGACGACCAATCAATCAACTGGATGTTTTGGACTATAGTCGCAATAGCCATCCTCATATTGTTGACCTACATCACTCGCAGACTCCTGAAGTTGAAGAAGAAGCCCTCAGAAGCCCAAATCAAGATCGAAGATAATCATCATCAGTCCGATCGCCTTCGGTCCTGTTCCAGCCCGAAGCCGTCTCTTAAGGGGGGAGGAGTTACATCGAGCGGTCCCACGGTACCGAGCTAGGTACAACACTTCCCAGGCCGTTTCCCGGAAAGCAGCGAGATCAGCAGATTCATATTTCGTCTCTCAAGATCAACCGACATTATAAATACATGTGTAATTAATTTTTCCGACGATTTTGACCGTATACCTTGTCCAGATAACATAATAAACGTTTTTTAAAAAGTCTTTTGCCGGTTTTTCGAAAATAACTAGCTAATTAATTGTCAAGCTAGAGGGAATTTGATAGCTCATGATTGCAGAAACCCCGTAGCCAATGTGAGCGCAATATCTTTGAGAGAGGTAGCAGAGTGCCCCGATCCAGTACACGACTATACAACGAAAGAAATTACCGTTCAAGTATTGGAGCGAAGTCGAATGAAAAAATACCTGTAAATACCTGTTTGGTTGAAGTTACGTATTTCATTCACAATTGTGGAATGTGGTCTCATGCCAGTCCAGTGCAACATGGATTATTAACCTATATACACCAGGTAGAAAAAGAGGAATGTGAAAAAATGCACGATACAAAAGAATATCGAGGTTTTGATGACAAAAGAATCGAGTTGAAGCGGAATTCTTCGGTAACTGCAATCATAACACTAGCAGGGTCATTAACCCAAGACGGGGCTTGTAAGGAAGAAAAATTCAGTTCCAGAGACACTGAATGGGAAAATGTGGTTGTGATAGCCAGCGTGAAAATTACGCTAGCAAATTACTTGGCTACCGTAAGACTAGATGGAAATGAACTTATTTTACAGAACGGTGTAGTATGTCAATGCCTACAAGGGTATTGCCTCGATTACATCATTGGAGAAACCATATGGGAACCATTGAGAACTGAAAATTGTGAAATCTTCATTGTCATATACGATGGGAAAGCAACCCTAGTATCAGATAGGGTTGACAAGGAACAAGAACACCAGTACTTAGTAGTTGATGTCGAAGACGAGATTTTTGCTGTAGAATTGAAAGCTCACGATCACGTGTGCAATAGGAAGGTATGGATGACAGAACATCCCCGCTTAATAGTGACAGGATACGATCCCAATAACCAGTATTCAAAATGGAATATTATGAGAATAGATGCCGAAGCAGGGTTGATAACTAATGTGGATACAAAATTCATATATGTAGAACAATCTCTAAAGAGGAATCTGCATGGAATATATGCAGACACCATTTACCGACGGTGCCTTTTACATCGAGAAATCTTGAAAAATCGATTAATTCTAGCCCTGATGCCCCGAACGCAGTAGTTAGTTTGTTTCAAGATCAACTCGGTTATGTAGGGAAGATAAATGGGGAAGTATTATACGTAATGAAGTGTCAACCTGTTACGGTGGAAATAAGGCGGAAACACAAAATTGTTATTTGGAAGTACCCGTTAAGATCTATAATCGCTCCTATTTTATGTCACCTATCCCCAGAATTTTACAAGAACACGGTCAACAAACGGAAATGCAATTCAATTATTTCACCTTTATTTTATCTAGAGTCAAAATGGATAGGATTAGATCCGAAACCTATAATAGGTATAACTCTAATCACGTTGAGAGTAGGCGAAGAAAAAGCGTACAAATTTGAACCAATAAAACAGATAGGGTCAGGGGAAATATACACGGAATCAGATATAAGAAAAGCCCAAGACGAAATGATATTTGGAATGGAAAGAGAAGCGTCGAGTGATATCATGATACGAAAACTTGCCAGAGCTTAGGTTGAAGAACAAGGATTTTCCACTTTGGATTTATTCAATGCCGAAGAACTCGACAAATTAGCTAATTCAACCCTGGAAAAAATGTATGGGTGATTTGTATTCTTAGGAGATATCACCAGCGGCCTCATTGGAGTATATTTTTGTTTTAGAATCATAAAATTTCTGTTGGAAACTTTTTTAAATGCGGTAGCTATACACCGTATCAAGGGATTTTCATGGCATATGTTTTTATCGTGTTGGGACTCTTTAACTATGTTTATTTTACACGAACGATTAGCTAAACGAAACCCTAAGACAAAAGACCAGCTCGAAACAGACATCGAGCGACCCGAAGAAAATAAAATATCCCCGCTACCCTCAGCTAATGTGCCTACACTATCTGTCGAACGTAGACCACCCAATTTTTCAAGTTTGCGAAATGACCTAAGTAGAGTCCAAAATCCGTTCACTTCTGTGCAATGGGAATTTGAAATCCCTAAAGGAAATTGCCATATGTAATACTTATATAATCAACAACATTCAATATGAAAAATAATAAAAATAATAAAAAAATATAATAAATATCCCGAACTAAATTAAGTGCGAAGAAAAATAAGATTACGGATTTATGAAAATAATTGAATATTTGGTAATAGGGAAACAATAACAAGGTTGATTGAATCATAGAAGAGTTGAATGAATTGAATATTGCTACAACATAGGACAACGATATCATAACAATTCAGAAAGAAGAATAAGACTATTAAATAAGATTAGGAATATGAATAGGAAATAACAATTATTGTAATTTTATAATGATGACCTTTGCGCAAAAGTTCAATGTTTGACACTACAAGAAGCCTAGTTTGTGAATGTGCATTTCATTCTCTCACCAAAGTTATCACCAAGATGAAAACTCGTGCTCTATCAGAAAAATGGACCAATTACTAAGAAGGGTTCGGATTACTCCCAATTCCTGAGTGAAGAGGAACCTATTACTCGATATCATAAATCACTTGGTGATAGTTAGTCAAATTTTGGCTTGCCAGCCACTAAATCCCCTAGACCCAGAGGCCAGGAACGACCCAACCCGGTGTTACAATTTACTGTATATACTACTGTTTCATGGGGAGTTACGGAGAGCTCTACTGGGGGCAGGCAGGCATGCTTGCTTCTGCAACTGGTGCAACTCCCAACAGCGACCACCACCACCATCCCCGAGAGGACTACCATGTAGGTGTTATTGGTGCCTGACTAACGTGCCACCGACACCCCCTCCGACCTACGAGAGTGTGGAAACCCTGAACTCCTCTTTATCGAATATTCCGCACGACTCAGGGCACGGTAGCAGAATCGACCCTGCTGACCCAACTGTGGACTCTCGAGAACCGACGCCTGGAATCAATAGAGGCGTCTTCCGACATGCACTGGGAAATCAGAAGTCGCCAACTCAACCACCCACAACGACACCGAGAGCCGAACCTTCCTCTACACCACCGTTTCCAAGGCGTGGTGGCACCGACGATGAAACCGCCTCTAATGATGGGTCTGGGATCCGTAGGGTGATGAGACTGCCTAGTGGTGGAAGAATAGCCGTCAGAAGAGAAAATGGAAGCACGTACGGGCCTAGGGACGAAAGGACTGACCCTGAAAAGGTTATCTAATGTAGTAAAACTCGTATATTGCTTGTAGATACATAGATTTAGATTGCATATACTGTATATATTCGAATGAAAGCTGATTTTATCAAACCTTTTCAAATAGATAAACAGAAATCAAACTGATGATAGTTTGATTTCAAACAGGGATGAAAGGGATGTAGTGATTTGAGAAACTAAAGGTAAAAATTCATCACGAAATGTAGATTCAAGAACAAATATAAGAAAGAGAATAACTAACAGTCCACTACAGAAATAAATCGAATCATTATCTGGTCTGCTCAACGGCTTATTTGATGGTCCAAAACACCAATATATTATGACAATTAATTATATTTGTGAATTCACGACATGCTGACACTCATCAAAGGATGACGCAAGGTTGTTTGACTGCGAGAAGCCGCTATAGGATAATATAGGACCATACGCAAATAAATAGCAGAGCTCGCGAAAAATTAGAATAGATAGTAATCAAACGTCGATCGAAGTAACATCTCTTACCAAAGCAATGTAGTAAAAGAGTGAAAGTGCTAAAAACTAAAGTAGTATCCTAGTATATTATACTGAGAAGTCACCTGAGAATCACTGTTAGGGTACCTGTGATATTTGCTCATTAAAGCTGATCAGCAACAAATAGAAGAACCATGAAGGGGTACAGCCAGAGTCGTAAGAATAACCTTTGGAAAGCAAGTGAGAAACTGACTTTTATTATGGCCTAATACTTCGAACTCAGTCAAACAACTAGCATTTTGAGGTCTAGGGTAGATAGGTAGATTAAAGTAAGGTTAACAGCATACTTAACTGTGAAATGGTATGCTTATGTATAGGGAACCTAGCAACTAAGTAGGGGAACTTGAAGGATAGTTAATTCTGCGAAGATTTATAGCACAAGTGTGTATGATTTATGAGTTAGAGTGTAATAAGGGAAAATTATTCATGGCTTTATGTTTCCTATTATTGACATTAACGTTGCAAGTAGTAGAAAACGATGTATAGGATATTTATATAAACCTTTGGCTATCATATTGATCTGCTATAAGTAACGACTGTTGAAGGACTAATTCAGGGAGAAATTCGTCTATGATTCACTGTATACCTTGAGATTGAATTCGGTCAATATTGTGGTGTTCTGTAATAGCATATTTCGATAATTATTATAAATCTGTCTCTGCTTCCTTCCCCTGGTATTGAGCTCCGCTCGGCTAAATTGATTTTTTTATATACAATCCACATTTTTAGTTTCATATCCAGAATATCATAATTTTTGAATGCTGGAATAAAATTGATTTTTTTATGTACCCTTTGGTTTTATCCCCTGATGTACCTAATGAAATACTACATATTCCCCAATGATATTCCTAAAAGATATTATCTTGTGGATGTTTGTGAGCAACAACACCAATGAACATGAAATATACCTACATCTGATCCAATATGTGGATGCTGTTTTTTGAATATCCCAAATTTCCAAATTTGAAGTTCAGTGGATATCCATTCAATGTCTGTCTGTTGTAATATCTACGTTCTTTTTAGAAATCTAAATGATTAAATTCTGGAATCAGAAATAATGTTGGCGCAATTTTAGAATCTTTGATTGAAGAGTGAGTTACTTCGGGAATTGAAAACACCAATATCAGTTCCAAAATCAATTGGATCCAATGTGAAAACCTGTTTCAAATAATCATCTTCCAACGTCCATGATAATATTCCAAATGAAACGTACTGTCTTTGAATATTGTATGAATAACAACTTATAACTAAAATCAAAATAATAATGACACAATGAAAATCTAAAAATAAAAATTTTATTGCATTTCCTCATCATATCATGTCTACAAAAGTATGAATGTATGATAAATCCATTATAAAAAAAATTGAAAATTGAGTTTGCATTTGATTTTTCTTACTCAAATTCATTAAACATGAGAAATTTGCTTGCTAGTGCATTTGAAAAAAAAAAAGGGGAAAGAAAGGAAAGGGGACCCTCCACCACCCCTGTTTACCAGTAAACAGGCATCTTATATTTAGGAGAGGAGATGGACAGAGGATTTATTCATTAAAAGAAAATGGGAGGTTGGTGATTAGGACAAACAAATTACATTTGAACAGAATTTCAGACAATTACATATCACCTCAATTCTACTGAATCCTAACTCAAGCTAAAACTTAACCACACAATAAGAATGTTTACAGAATTTTAACTAAGATATTATCATCTATCACCTTGAATCTACTGAATCTTGAACTTGAACTAAAATTGTACCACACTGTACTTCCATAAAGTAAGGTACTAGAATTCACTTGTGCTTTCTTCAACATCCTAGTGCATGTGCTTGTACCTCAAACAAAAAAAAAGAACCAGCAGAAAGAACCGCTTTCATTACATTAATATTCACAAAAACTTATCCTCAGTAGATATAGGGCTGGACAAATTAGTAACAGCACATATAACAGTGAACATTTGATCAATTTGAGGAAGCAGTGAATATGGAAATGGTTTGCCGAGTATTTCAAAGATTTTTATTCTTTGGTTTTGTTCTTTGTGAACTCTTGCTCTTGCAATTTTTGCATTGAGCAAGGATTCTGCTTTTGAGAGTTGTGTTCGTTTTTTAAGAAAAGGAGGTTGAATAATGCCTATTCCATATTCACTTGCAAGCTCTGTGATCAAAAAAACATAATTTGATCTGAAAATGGATCACATTTCTCAATTATGCCACTTTGTACAAAAATTTCTTTATCTGAGGTGCGTCCTCCATAAGCTTTACTAATATATGTTATAAGGCCAGCTGGAGAGACACCTGTCATGAATTTTATTGTGTGCTTTTTTTTGTACTTTGAATATGTTTTCAATCTACAACATAAACATTTTACATATTGAATGGCGATTTTAGTGTAATCTAATACTACTCTAACTTCTTCAAAATCCCCAAAACAAATTGGCATATTATTGACCATTATTTATTCTTTAGAAGGCCATGGTATTGCTGGTTCTTATATTTTCGCAAGCATTGTCAAAGTTTCATGAAAAATTATTCTTCAAGTCCACTTACTGATATTGAAAAGAGCAGATGAAACTACATACCTCATACCTGTTTTCAATTTGATAAAAGTAAATACTATGGAATCTTTCAAAGATAATCTGAGTTTTTTTGTTCTATTTGGAAATATTTCCTTACATATTTCTACCAGAGCCTCCAATAACTCAAATGATGGTAAGCCGGTCATAGTAGTCAAATGTCCCATACAACACACGGACATCCTATGGATGTCCGATGGATATCCATTGAGAATATTCTGGATATCCGTTGGACATCCAAATATTATCCGAAGGATATCGTATGGATGTCCAATGGACGTACTTTGGCCACCGTTTTGTATGTCCATAGGATATCCATCATGTATGTCCATTGGATATCCATCATGTATGTCCATAAGATATCCATTATATATGTCCATAGGATATTCATCATGTATGTCCATAGGATATTCTTTATGTATGTAAATAGGATATCCATCATGTATGTCCATAGGATATCCATCATGTATGTCCATAGGGTATCCATCATGTATGTCCATTTGATATCCTCGTTATTAAGAATATCTATGGCTTCAGTTACAAATGCATATATAGAAACTTATTTGCATATGCTGGTTTTCCATTTACATGAAAAATATCTATTATACTAATGGCTTTATTTGCCCCATGAACACTTGACAAAATAGGGTGCAACTGGCTCCCAGAACTTTTTGATAAAGGTAAAGCATCAACATTAATCAGTAAAACTATTACATGATTACCAATTTGAGATGATAGTTAAGAGTTTTTGATGAAATTCTCAATAATCCTATTCATACCAAAATGGTAATATTTGGTGGTTTCACTTCTTTTATATCAACAACTCTTGGTGTATTTAATAATTTTCTCGCATCAAGAGGAAGTTCTGGGTGAGAGGGTTTCAATATATATAGAAGGTTGGTAGTTATTGCTATTTGGGGTACATTATGCTGAAGCGCTCACTGTCCCAACTGAAAAGTCAGTGACTTATGTGCAGTTTGATTACCAGTTATATTGTTTTCTATATAGAAGGAACATTTGTAATGCTTTGGGTAATCTCAACATTATCATCAATGGATGAATTATTACTACTATAGCTGAACCTCGAACTGAACCCTCCAGATGAATTTTCATTAGTGCAGATAGATTTACCATTGATAGAAGCGGTCATAGAGTTACTGCTTTGGTTAAGGTGGATTCATGCAAGCAAAATTTAAAACTTAAATGAATTTTAAACTTAAACCAATAATATAAAACTATGAAATGTAATGTAGGTGCTCATGCAAGAAACTAAAAAATTAAAACTAAAATTAAAACTAAGGAAGATGGCCAACATTCAACTAAGAAATTAATTTCTTCCATAATTCACAACTACGCATGCGCCAAATAATAACTAGCCGCGCTGGAAAAAGAATAAACAGCTGATGAAAGGTTATTGCATGAACACCCATATATTTTAGTTAATTTTAGTTAAAATTCGTTTAAATCTTAAATTCATTATAATTTAGTTGATGTTGCATGAATCCACCTTTACTGACATTATTTGTGAAGATGATGGACCATCCATAATGCTACAGGTTGATGAATCTACTGATGAATCTCCCATTATTTTACCAGAATCTAGTTCCTTCTTCCTTCCTCGTTTTCTCAAAGACATTATTCAACATTTTTTCCTCCTGATATATGGTTTGTCCATCTTCAAAATTATCAGATTGCTTATTAATACTGTGACAAAATCGATGAGAAGGAATTATACATATATACCGATACACTGCAAAACAGAATTCTGAAACACAAAAAGAGCGAATCTGGTTTTATTGACATTTTTGACATGTTTTGATTGAAATGCAATGGTAATCACGGTGATATCATGTACAGTGTGTTTCAGAGTTGAGAAGACAAAAGCCTATAGAGGAGATGTCGCTTAGCAAAATATTGAAGAAAGTTCGTA